GCAGGATTTAGGATATGATATCCAAGTTTAGACTGGTGTTATCCAAGTCCTATTGGCTTGGTTCATGTCTCTGTGGCTTAGTTTCTTGGTGGGTGAGTTAAGAATGTGTTTCCACCTTACAAATGCTTCATAATCATGACCCCAAAAAACTTATGAGCATATTTGACAAATTTAGGTCCAGTTGGATCCTTCTAGAGCGATTTACAAAAATGTTCATTATAACATCAAAAATGGAAGATTAGGTCATAAGTTAGAAAATAAAGGGAAGGGAAGTGGATACTCATGAATACCCTGATATGCCTTCAACTCTGGTGGGTGATTGGAGTCAAATTTAACTAAACTCAACTTTATCAGTTTGTTGGATATTTTGAATTTCTTTAGCGTATCTGTAAGTTGATAAAATATTTTTTATGGATATGGTTGTTTAACTGATGAATGTAATTGTTTCCATGTGTGCTTGTGAACAAATCATGCTACTTAACATGCCTCCATGGCCCCTCTCCTCCATATTCCTGTTATGCTTAGATTAATTGACCCATGCATTTAGTTCTGTGTCATTCTGACTTAATTATTGATGAGTAAGTAGATTCTGTTTGTAAAAATATTACATCATATATGTGAACACAGTTAATCCCCATGTTAGTTGTTAGAACATTAAGCATGTACAATGAAATTTTACCGGGACAATTTTTCATAGGGGGAAGCTTCATAAAAGATAGAAGGATAAAGGGAAGGAAGTGACTCCTCATCCAATTTGAAGATCTTTGTTAGTAGGTAAGTAATTACCTTTGACTTTTCTATATTGAATTTTAAATACTGATTGATTAGTTGGCTATGGATGCCTTGTATTCAGTGAGGATTGGGGGCAATAAATGTAACATGTAACATGGTTAGTCGAAGGATTGAGTTGTTTGATTATTTTGTTCAATTTGTTTAGGCCTGGAGATACCCTCTCATATTCAGCATCTACTGATTCTCGTGAGATTACACAATTAAAGAAACAAGTGCTTAGTTATAGGGAGGATAATGAAAGATTGAACCACCAATTACAAACACTTGTCAGTGTTGTCCTTCCTTTACTTCCACCTGATGCCCGACAAGCATTTCAACAACAACATTCCCAACAAGGATCACAACAACAATCACAACAGGAGCAGCAAGAGCAGCAAGAGCAGCCTCAAGATGAACAAGGACATTACTATAATTATTAGGACACTCAAACAATATTGTCATAATATTTATTATAGTACTTCTTTGGATTTGTATGTTCTTAGATATTTCAAGGACTACTTGATGCATGCTAATATTAGGATTTGTGTTTGATATCTGAATATGCATTTGGTGCATATAAATATTATGGAATATTGTTAAATTTGATATCTAAATATTTTATGTGTAATATGCATGTAACAGGTAAAATTTAGTTAAATTGGTGGTTATAAAATTGTATAAATTTACCTAGTGATTTTCCTACGGATTTACCTACGGATTTTGAATGATGTAATTACCTACGGATTGCAATCCGTAGTTAATTACCTACGAACAGAATCCGTAGGTAATTACCCACGGACGACATTACCTATGGATAGTAATTCCGTATGTAATTTACCTACGACCATATTATCTACGGATTTTCTACGGGAAAAAATCCGTAGGTAAAATGACATTACCTACGGATTTTTGCCATTACCTACGGATTTTTGCCGTAGGTAATAGGCTTTTTTTTTGTAGTGTTATAGGAAAAGGAATGAAACCAATCCTAAGTTATTTTATTTGATCTTTTCTATTTTATAGTACTTTGTCATTTATTTTCAACCTATGAAAAATAAGTTTTGTTTTAATTCACTTAGTAAGCTTACGATATGGAATTTCCAGTGAAACTGTTCCTCGATAAATCGACTTTTATTTAATCGAAATACTATACTGTGATTGATAATATTGGTGCGCTTGCCAGTTATTCAACAACTAGCCTTTCATGTTGAAAAAGTTTCTATAAACCTCTGAATTTCTCATCATATAACCATGAAAATTTTAGAATCTTTAGTATATTAACTTGTTTTTAACTCATTTTTTGGATAAAAAGGGACATTTTGTTTAGGTCTTCATTGAACTAGGTCTCAATGTGACTGCCTTTATGTTATTATGGTGCAAGTTCAAAAGGCACACCTTGATTTGATGAGTTTCTCTCAGTTACCCTACCTAGTTTAGATCTCTTTACCATGTTGAATGATGAGTTGAGACAATTTAGTTTGAGGCAGGATAATATAATAACATGGTGCTACAAGGAAGAGATATAACCAACAGAGGACAAGGATTATGTATAGAGAACTAGCATGTACCTTGGTCAAAGTTGTTTTGATGGATTAAAGAATCTCATCAATGGTGGTTGGAATTAGCATGTGTTTCAATGACCTAGAAAAATTGACAAAGGTGATATTGATTTCCAGTAGTGGGTATCATATCAAAGTTGCACCTTTTGACCTAACAAATCCATGAGACATGGGGAGATGTTTTCTAGAAATGCTTATCAGATTTCACACTCTAGAAAATCAATGACTTCTTTACAATGTTTGTTCTGTTATTGCATTGGATGATACTAGGTTTATAAATGTCAGTGTAAGTAATGTATAGAAGCAAAAAAAATTTAACCAATTATCGTACCCATATAATTAATTAAACTGGAAGTGACGAAGAGTTAGCTGTCAAAATAATGAATTGAATTGATTATTTTGACAAATTAATCAATTAAATCAACTTATTGAAACATATCAATTTTAACTAATTTTAATAGGTTAAAGAACAGATGAATTGATTAAAACAAAGACGAATTATAGTGAAGGCACAGGAGAAGTTATTTTAACTGATTATTTTGATAAGGTAATCGATTAAAGCAAAATCATACAATACCAGTTTTGAACAAATGGGCATTCATAATGCTTGTACTGTGATCTTGAAGAAGAGATATACGTGAAGTTGTCCCTGGGCTTTCACTCTTGAACTTCAAACCAAGTGTTTCATCTTCAAAAGTTCTTATATAGTTTAAAACAAAATTCTAGATGTTGGTTTGTCATATTAAACAACACCTTAAAACAATATGGTTTCAAACAATCTATTTTTGACTATTCTTTGTTTAATATACATAACGGTTCACTACAACTTAATGCTTGGTTTATGTTGATGATTTAATTATTTCTAAAAATGATAGTATACTACCATACTTCCACTCAAACAAATCTTGGTTTTTTTATATTTTGGGCATTGAAGTAGCTTGAAATTTCATGGGTATTCTTCTTTGTCAAATGAATTATGTTCTTGACATCAATTTTTGAAGTTGACATGTTACAAGCTAAACCTATTATTTCCCTCTCCATCAAAATCATCATTTTCCATTGGCTAAGGGATCACCAATCTGTAATATAGAATGTTATTGTTGATTAGTGAGATGTTTGATTTATCTATCTATTACAAGATCGACGCTTTCCTATTGTGTGCACATGCTTGTACAATTCATACAAAATCCACGTAAGGAACATTGAGAAGCAATTTCAAGTTATTTGTTATTTAACAGGTAATATGAGCCAATAATATTTGTTTTGTACTGACTATGATCTTCAACTTTATATTTGGTGTGACTTTGATCAGACAAGTTGTCCTTTAACGACGTGTTTACCTATTAGTAATTCATTTATTTCTTAAAAAATTAAGAAATAATATATTGTCTCTCCTTTTTTTTGTTGTTGTAGAATATCGATATATGGATACCATGATACATGAATTAAAATGGCTAAAAGCTTTACTTCTTTTCCTTGGAGTTGATTTTCATCTATGAAACCCGATTGTAATAGTCAAGAGCTCTTTATATTATATTGTTGTCAATCATGTTTTGTTTTACACAAGTGTACAAAACACATTGAATTTGATTGACAATTTTTTACTAAATGAAATTCTCAAAGGCAACATCATTAATTAACCAACATTTGCCAACTCATATCCAATTGGCGAATATTTTCACTAAGGATTTGGACAATAAACAAAATGAATATTTTCACATATGCAATATTGTTTTAGAAATTTATATAAAAAATAGTAAATTAAAAATGTAATCTATATTGTTTTTCATGTTCAAATAGTTTTGATGATGATAATCGAATGATGCAGGATTTAGGATATGATATCATAAACATTAAGTTTATACCAACGGTAGCATGTTTATATTCTCCCCTTTTAATCCACTTAAACAAGTTTAATTTGCTACTTTTGTTGAGTTTGTGTAGAAAAGATGAACGGATCTTAATATAATAAACAACGAGTGGAATAAATAAATATAAGCAATTAAGTTAGACTGGACATCCATAAACAGACGAAGATAACGAAAAACCAGATTCAGAGCTTGTCAAATCTCAATAAATTTGCGAAATTTTTAAAATGAAGATTAATTTAAAGTCTTAAAGAAAATGCCTTAACTTCTAAAATTTATCCACACGGCACTGTTAATATATATATATATATATATATATATATATATATATATATATATATATATATATATATATATAAAAGAAGAAAAGTCATACCTTGATTGAGGGGATATTTAGCCAAGGAGAGACAAAAATAGAAATTGACTTGTATAACAGTGTAAAGTGTAAATATAATCTTATTAAATGCAAATAAATATCGTGATGCAGTAAATGAACGACAATGAAGGAAAAAAGAGAGGTAAAACTATTATATTTTGATTTTAATCACTCCATGATGAAAAATTACTATCTTTGATGTAAAGTTAAATTTAAACTAGACATCATTAATATTTATTTTAGGATGTAGAAAATATTTGGGAAAAATCAAAGAATAAGAATAGTTGTGATAAGCGTAAGGAGGATGGACATGATATGACGGGTGGAGGAAATGAAGCAACACGGTGACAGCGGTTTGATTTGGTTTGTACAGCGTGTAAGTGGCTTGATTGCCGGAGAGTTCCATTGCGTTGCATTGCGGTGATCATGTATTCCTCGGGCAAGTTGGGCAGAGAGCTTGTCTGTCAGTCCCAAAATTTTGCATGAGAATGCACCAATCTCCCACACTTCTATTCTATTTATACCTTCACTTCTTTACAAATAAATCACCATTTACATTCACTAAAACACATCTTTTCATTCCTAGATTCTCTATTTACTATTCTCTCTGCATGCAATGGCTTTAACACTACACACAAAATCTGCAGTTGTTAGTTTCTTCATATTTTTCTGGACATGCACATCTAGTGCTACATCCGGCGCACTCTCTGAACCTTCCATTGCTGCACAACATGATGCGTGGATGGTCCAGCATGGCCGTGTTTATCCTAATAGTGCAGAGAAGCACAGACGCCGACAGATATTCAAGTACAACTTGGACTTCATTCAGAAACACAACAACCAAGGAAACAAGAGTTACACTTTAAGCCTAAACCATTTTGCTGATTTAACTAACCAAGAATTCCTCGCGTCTTACACAGGAGCTCTTTATAACCCACATACTCTACCACCTTCTTCCAACACTTACCATAACATCACTCTCACTGCCGCTGACATTGATTCAAGCGTGGATTGGAGAAAGAGAGGAGCCGTTAACGAAATTAAGTACCAAGGCCAATGCGGTATGTTCTCGTTTGTGTCAACTTAGCTACCTACTTCATATAAATACAATTCTCATGCACTTCATACATTTATACATTTCTTTCCGTGATGATGATATTTGAATTTCATTCGGTGGCAGGGAGTTGCTGGGCATTTTCAGCTGTGGCAACTGTCGAGGGGATCACCCAAATAAAAACTGGAACCTTGATTTCATTGTCTGAGCAACAGTTGGTGGATTGTGCCAGCTATGACGGATGCCATGGACAATCCATGGAAAGAGCCTTTGAGTATATAAAAGGAAATGGTCTTGTAAGGGAAGATGAGTACCCTTACACAGGAAGACAATGGACTTGCCACCGTGTTGGTGGTGTCGATCTAACCATGATTAGAGGTTACCAAAGTGTGCCTCCGCAGATGGAGGAGGAACTTCTAAAAGCAGTGGCCAACCAACCTGTGTCGGTACTCCTTGAGGCTAAAGGACAAGCATTTCAGTTTTACTCTGGCGGAGTTTTCGATGGACGGTGTGGAACTGAACTTAACCATGCAGTTACTGCAATTGGGTATGATGGGGACGCAAATGGCAAGTACTGGTTGATAAGGAATTCATGGGGCAAACAATGGGGAGAGGGTGGTTACATGAAGATTAGGAGGGACACTGGTACCCCTGAAGGTCTCTGCGGCATTAACCTGCATGCCACTTATCCCGTAGTTTAAGTGTTTATTTTCACCACTACTCATTACTACTACGTACTACTATTTATGTATCATCATCATGCTGTTGCCTATTCTTATGCGATTAATACTACATTATAATCAATGTAGCATAATCCATCATACCGTCTTTATCTTAATTAAATCAGTTCTTGATCTATGTTTCTCTCTTTTAAATTATATTATGACAAAATCTTATGAAATGTGCTATGACTTGTATAATAAAGCTTTCCCAATCATTGAACTTGACTATTTTGATTTTACACTAAAAGATCCGCTAAACACAAGCAGTAATCAACTCATTTAAATTGATATTCGTTGGGGTTCTCCTCAAAGTTCCAGTTGAAATTATTACGTTAGCTTCAACGTAAGCAACAAATATATAATTAAGAACATTCGAAATATATATGGAGTCATTTATAGGTGGGTATAAGTCCCTAAAATTTTCTGAATTACAAGTTAATCGCTAAATATTTTACATTAATTTCAAATTGATTCTTAATTAAGTTTACTTTTTATAATTTACTCCTAAATACTTTTAGTATTTAAAGTGCTAACTATTTTTCATATTTTCAATTAGGCCCTCCATGAACTACTAACACTATAAGAAAATCGCGTATTACCGATCGGATATTTACCGACGGATATTTACCGACGGATTTGTATCCGTCGGTAAATAATTATTACCGACGGATATAAAATATTTGTGGAATTTGATCTTACCGACGGATATATCCGTCGATAAAATAATAATTAGTTACCGACGGATATATCCGTCGATAAATCCGTCGGTAATTGACAGATGAATTTACCGACGGATATATCCGTCGGTAAATCCTTCGATAAATTAATAATTAATTACCGACGGATATATCCATCGGTAAATTCATTTGTAAATTACCGATCGGATATTTCCGTCGGTAAATTATCAATTAGTAAATATTCAACTAATTAAAAAATTAAATATTTTTTATTTAATAATTTCATTTAATCATAATTAGATTAATTTATAATAATTTCTTAAATTAAATAATTTTAAAAAATAAATATTTAATTATATATAAATATATAAAAACATATAAAAATATATAATTGTATATAAATATATAAATATATATATATATATATATAAATATATAAAATATAAATATATAAATATATAAATATATAAATATATAAATATATAAATATATAAATATATAAATATATAAATATATAAATATATAAATATATAAATATATAAATATAAATATATAAATATATAAATATATAAATATATAAATATATAAATATATAAATATATAAATATATAAATATATAAATATATAAATATATAAATATATAAATATATAAATATATAAATATATAAATATATAAATATATAAATATATAAATATATAAATATATAAATATATAAATATATAAATATAATTTATTTGTAAATTATTATCGAAAAATTCTGGTAGATTAGTGGTTGGAGTATCAGCCTCTAACTCTAAGATCTTGGGTTCGAATCCTGCCAATAACAATTCAATATAAAGGGAAGGGGTATTCTATAAAATAAATAATCTATCTAAGTAAAATATTTAATAAATAATAAAAATATTACCGACGGATTCCTGTCCATCGGTAATTTCGTCAAACATTTAGCGACGGATTTTTGTTATTACCGACGGATTTTGACCGTCGGTAATATCAAAATTTATTGTAGTGTAACTAGGTTGATTTTTTAACATCTTATATTTTGATGTAAATGTTGACTTATTGGCAAACATACAAAATTTATCAATCACAGTATAATATTTCGATTAAATAAAAGTCGATCCCACGAGAAACGGTTTCAATGGAAATTCTCAATTATACGCTTATTAAGTGGATTAAAATAAAGTGTGTTTTGCATAAAGAGTTGAATTGAAATTAAATGACAAATAACTGTAAATTGTTGAGAAAAGATCAATTAAAGACACTTAGGACCGATTTCCTTCCTCATCCCTCTTTTGTAATGGCTATGTCAATTAAGCACATCAATTAACCTAACAATATGTTGATGTCACCTACTCAAATCATTCATGTTCATTTTTCACACATGAAATTCATAAGAAAAACTAATAAATGTTGATTTCACACACAAGTAAGAGATTTTCCAGCATTAGGTTTAGGGTGTTAAGCAATTGATACATTCATTCCATTTCTGGCAATTAACGTAACAAATATTTTCACCGTGATCTAGGTTCCAGATATATTTTTCAATCATACCCCAAACATCAAGAATAAATCATTCCAAAGAACAGAAGATAAGAATAACAACATCAAAGCATAGATTAATATCTGAAAATATCACCAAGATACAAAAGAGTTCAAAGGAAGTGTACCAAATCCCAAGAGAATGAAGTTAACCACTCATGTTGGTCATTAGTGCTCCAAATGTGGAAGAAGTGAAAAATTGATGAAGATTGGATGAAACCCTAGCAGTAGTCTCGCCTCTTCTCTCCAAAACCGCTTGCTTTTCTCAGAACACATCTTATCTTTTTATAGGAAGAATTGGGCCTCGCGTCTTTCGCTCAAGCGAAAATTTCCTATTTTCGCTCAAGCAACAATTTGCTCGCTTGAGCAAGTGAGATCCAGAGAAGAATAACTAATATTTTCTCAAACGAATTTACTTGCGCTTGAGCGACTGACTTCCAGAGAAGAATAACTGATATTCGCTCAAGCGAGAGCCCATCTTGCTCGAGCGACTATTCCATGCTGAAAATTTTCTTCCTTCTTCCAGTTTTGCTCCAATTATGTTGACAATTATGCTCCTTACTCTTGTATCAAGGTATTCTCGAATTCATCCTACATTGGAAGAAAAATAGATTAGAATTAACATAAGTTAAGTGATTTCATAAAAATTCAAAGCATAATTATATCAACTTTTTACCACTTAACAACTCCCCTCAACCTAGAATCTTGCTTGCCCCAAGCAAAGTAATTTTTCTGAAACAAAATCATCACTTATTATCACTTTCTCTTCTAGAATCACAACATAAAAATAGCTTTTCGAATGCGATGCTCACAACTCCAAATGAAAATAGAATACATAAGCATTCAAGTTACAAAATCTAACAAAGGAAAATCTATCATCAACTATCCTCAGAGAAGTATGATCTCTCACATAGAGTGATAAATAGTCATCTGTAACTCTCAAGGGTATGTGTTTAACTCATTCAATCACTTCATTTAAACAATCCAATATTGATAGTCATCTTCAAGCAATCAACATTTGTTAAGCAAGACTTAAATCAAAAGGTCTTTTGAGGCTTGTAATGGGGCTGGGCTAAGAAAAATCATTGGTTTTTCTGAGATATTCAAAAGTATTTGAGAAATTCAAATCATATGAATGATTCATGTTTAACATTTCCTCAAGTCGGGTTTCAAACTTCATGTTTTTGCTCCTACACAATGATAGTGAGTTAATAAGCTCACAGGTTATCATTCACCTCCCCCTTTTGACTTTCTTTTTTCTTTTCTCATACTTTGTATTTATCATTTTGGCTTAGCCACAATTTTTATGCAAACAATATTACTTTTATTTTTTAGAATAACAACCCAACAATAACTGTAGGATAACAATAGCAATACCCAACAATAGGAATAATAATAACATTCAAAATCATTTCCTCTCTCAAATATAGGAAGGTGGATAAATATTGTTTAGGCTCAGGGGTTCTGTTTAAGAAACAATATTGTTTTTCGCTCAAATGGGGTTCAAATGGATGTCTTATAATTAATGCAGGGTTGACTATTTGACTCTGGGTTAAATCTACAAGAAAAAAAATTGACCTTATCATTTTCAAGTCTCACTAACATGCAATCACATCAAAGAATCAATCAATACCAGTTATCATCATAAAGTGTTGACACTCAATTTATCTGTTTTTGGTTCACTCCTCGCTTGGGTTTTGGCTAGCTTCTCCAATTCAGTTAATTCCTAATTCTCCCCGTCAATTCCTTTTTCACTATCATACTCATCATCCTAAATTCACTTGTTATTGGAACAATCAAAATTGTTTTCTTCAAGTTCCAGATTTGAATTACACAATAAACAATAATTTCATAATTGGCTCTAATCCAAATTGTACGGGACAACAATTTAATCACATCAATTTAAAACATTCACCACATTAAGTGTCAATTCAATTATTCAAAACAAAAAACTTAAAACATCAAATTAACAAAAATCACTTTAACATATCAAAATAAAAAAAAATTCCTCCCTCTTATTCTTCTTCTTCACTTCTTGCTTCTTCTTCTTCTTCTTCTTATGAATTTTCCTCCTCTTCTTGTTGTGCTTCAGCTGCACCTTCACCCTCTCCTTGAAAATTGGGATTGTCCCCAGGCCATTGAAGTAGAGCATCGAATTCTTGTGGAGACGTCCACTGCATACCTAGAGTAATTTGCAACGACAGATTATAAAAATTTGAGTTACACTAGTGCAAAAATGACATTTTACGTCACCCAATTGTCGTCGCATGTCAAAATATTCGACGTAAATAAAACGCGGTGGCAATTTTGTAAATAAGAGGTGAAACTTTTACGTCGCATATTGTAGGAGGTGACGTTAAAAACCTCTTTTACGTCGCACCTGGTACAGTGCGACGTAAAAGAGAGCTTTTTAAGTCGCGTGGGGTGTGCGCGACATAAAAAGTGATACTTTTTACGTCACGTGGGGGGTGCACGACGTAACATGTATCATTTTTTATGTCACATGGGGGTGCGTGACGTAAAAAGTATCACTTTTTACGTCACATGGGGGTACGCGACGTAAAAAGTGATATTTTTTACATCACATGGGGGTTGCGCGACGTAAAAATTGCTTTTTACATCGCGCACCCACCATGTGATGTAAAAAGTATCACTTTTTATGTCGTGCACCCCCCACGCGACGTAAAAGAGGCTTTTTACGTCACGTGCTAGGGTGTGCGGCGTAAATAGTTCTTTTTATTCTCTTCCAGACCCACTCC